ATTAGGGCAGCACAGGGAGAAAGAGACCTGGTGAAATGGCCAAGTCAGTAAACACTGATGTTTGTTAAGGATGCTGACACAGCCTAGATCCTGAATTAAGGAGAGTTCAAACCCTCGTTGGCCCAGTGCCTCAGGGCGGGCCAGGCCGCAGGTGCCCGGACGCCGGAGACCAGACCGCCTGCGCCCACGCCTCTCTGAAACAAGGGGGAAGGGCGGCCCGCCAGCGTGGCTGCCACACCCCTGGCAGGAGGCAAGGCCTGGAACAGGGCGTTTGTGTCTTTGGATCTGTCTGGAAGGACAAGGCTTCTAAGAAGTGAGTCCCGAACGGAGAAGCTGTCAGTCACGTGAACGCCCACGGCAGCCCTGCGGCGGCGTGTCCTGCAGGAACCAGGCCAGCTTCACGGCCATGCCTGTCCGTGTGTGCAGAATGGGACACGCGAGCACTAACAGAATGACACCCAAGCGGCTCCCTGGTCCCTGCTCATCAGTGCAGCTGTCCCCGGCCCAGATCAGAGACAGAAGTCACTCCAGGTGGGTCAGACAGCCTGAGGCGCCCACACAGAGGCCAGTCTGTGGCCACCCCTGGCAAAGCTCCACTGGGGACTGTAGGAGAGAGAGAGACACGACCGCCGCGTCTGTCGCCTCTGCAGCCAGGACCCGCCCACGCGTTCATCGCCAGGCCAAAGGAGCCCAGGTCCGACCCTCACCTTGTTCCAGACGAGAGAGGTTCTAGGAAGAGTGAGGGGAGAGGGGTTTGCTGCTCCCAGACTGCTTCCTGGGAAAATGTCTTCAAGAGCAGAAGAGAAAGAAGTCTCGTTTGTAACCAGCAGGAGGGTGGGTTTAGATGCTCCATCCACTACCGAACGGATGGAAATGAGGAGCTTAGACCCTGCTGCCCAGCAAGGTGCCTGGAGGGCTGCTTCGAGCTGCCTCCCACCGGGCCCCCCACCAGCGGGCGCCCTGTGCACCAGAGGGGCAGGGAGGCTCCGGCCTGTCGCTCAGACAGCCTGGGTAGCGGCAGGAGCTATTCGGGACTGTGTGTTTCTTAACCACAAATACAGAGACCGTACTCACAAGCTACTTCTACATGGACATACTTGAGATTTAGATTTTTAAGACTAGCTTAGTTGCAGTAATGACCGTTTTTACCAAACAGAGCTGTAAATTCGTCTGTATCCTGCCAGACACAGAGGGCGTCACCCTGCACCAGCCGCGCAACTCAGTTTGGAAGGAGTGATAGTTATTCCCATTCTCCATCCCTCCCTGCAGAGTAAATATTTCTTCTACATAAAGATGTGATTGCCTGATACCTGGGTATAATTGTTGTAGGTAATTTAAAAACATTAATTTCACTCTGATAGTTGCAAATACATTTATTACAAATGAATATACCTTCTGTAAAAATATAGATCAATTTTCCTAAAATTACAAATAAAGGCTCTGTAATTTAAATCTTTCTTCTATACCATGAAATTACCTTCCCCTATTCAAAGTGAACTCAGATTAACTGAATTTTGCCTTAATTTTTGTCTGTATTTTCTACCGATAGAGCAAAATGTTGTTACTGAAAGCCGAGTATTGAGCCATGTCTCACTGCTAATCCTGCTGAATCGTTTTCCGCTCTGTCTAGACTGTTAATACGACTTAATTGAATAGTGGCCAGCGCTGATGACGAGTCTTCCACAGATGGTGTTTTTTAAATGGAGTTACGTCGTGCATTTTCTAAATAAGACGGCAGAGCTGAGGGCTGAGGTTAGCAGCCCTCGGCTGGGTCATGGGCTGTGGCTGGAGCCCTGGGGTGGGGGGGAGGGACACCCTGCATCAGTCCCCTGCCGGGCTGCGGACCACAGTGTGGGCCGGGCTGCAGAAATCACTTTCCTCTGTTTTGTGACTAAGCTTCAGAAAAACATAGGTAACGTAGCCATGTTTCAAGCAATTTAAATATTCGGTATGTAGCTCAAATCACTGAACTCGGCTCCAATCTGAAAGTGATCCTGGAGGGCCCGTCTGTGGGTCAAGCGGCGTATTTAGCTCTGTGGTAGCAGAAGGCACACTCGCTGGAGGCCAGGGAGCTGGCGCCGTGTGTTCTGGGGCCACTAAGGGGTCGTGAGTTGTTTCCCCCAGACCAGAAGGAAAGGGTTGGAGGTGAGACCAGGGGCTCTTGGACCCCATTTTCCGAAGCCGTGAAGACCTAGTGAGTTCCCTACAGCCCCCCGAGTGTGGGAGTGGAGGGTCCCAGGTGGCCAGCGCCTGGTGCCCTAGTTGGTTCGAGTAGGAGCAGTGCACTTGAATCTGCCAGAGCCCCCAGCTGGACAGTAACGCCCCTCTGGGGTTACAGTTTCCACGCTAAAGGGAGGTAGACCGAGCCGTACACCACCTGGGAGAGAGACATTGGCACACTGAACACACAGGATAGAGGACACCGTGCGTGCCCCCGTCCGACAGCGGTATAGGAAATGCTAGGCAGAAAGTTACAAATCTGAGGCCGGGATGGTGGGATACCAACTTGCATGCAAATAGTAGATACGAAGGAAGATCACCAAGAACAGAGAAGTGGAGGCTTCGTCAGGAGGGGAACCTTGGCAGGACTGTTGGAAATGGGTTATTACAACTGCAGCCGGGGGAGCACAGTGACGGGAGTTACAGCAGCTGTTAGACTGGATAAGGTTTTCAGACCCAATAGCATATTCGTGTACTGTGATGCCACCTATTGCTTGTATGAAGTATCGTCATTTGTATCAGAAAGGGGAAATGAGAAGTGAAGGCAGGTCGTGATGAAGTACATTTGGAGCAGCCATTAGAATGCACAGGTCTCAGGACAAAGTTTAAGGTGCTGTTTTATTGCCTTCACTGGAGCAAATAATATCTGTTGATACTAAAACATCTGCCTTACGTGCTGTTTTTCCTGAAAGACAGCAGTCAGACGCTCACGATTGAAATTCTGTTCTAAACACAGCCGCGTACTTGAGTGAACTCTGCTTGGCGGTCAGCGTTTACCTACCACTTCTGTTCTGTAAACGTCTTCAACAAGGCGGTGGGGAGCCACTGTGAGCGCGGGGGGTTCGTTTGCAAGGGCCTCGCAGAGTCCAGGGCTGAGAGGGAGCAGAAGGACCGTCGTCCGTGTAAAGAAAGGGGCTGGGGTCCGTCGTACCCATCGGGGTCCCTGGCAGGGTGAAGCAGAGGAGGGGTGACCAGAGCCGGGGAAAACTGGAGGTGACAGGGACACAAGGTGCTTTCAGGAGAGAAGTGGGCATTTCATCACAAGGGGCCGCCTCCTCGGAGCAGCGGGTCTGGCCGAACTCACCACGTTTGAGCCGGAATCCCAGAGGGACAGGCGTGGCAAAGGTGCAGAACTCCCAGGGCCTTCACACACCCATACGGACCCCCTCTTTCATCCGGCTAGTCCCCCCAGGCACGACTTGGAGAGCCCGTCCTGATGGGACCTGGCCGTCACGTCTGCGGTTGAGCCGTAGAAGCCGTGGTTCTCCAACTCTTCCTGGGGGGTGGGAATGAGAAGACCGTGGGCATGTGTGTAAATACGTAAGATAACACAGGCGTTTTTGGAAACTCACTGGTGTGAGCACCTGGCGTGCAGACCGAGGGCCCTCCGAGAATGCACGCCCCTCCCCTTCTGTTCTTCATTCCCGGCCTCCGTGCACTGTGAGAAAAGTGACGTCTCTGCGCACGAATGTGTTTTCCCGGTCGTGACCGAGGTGCACAGGCTGGAGCGTGGCTTTTTCTGTTACGCGTCTGATTCGGGCGGTGTGTCTGTGGGCGCAGTCGCTCCGATGAGTGCACTTCCTTCTTCCGACGGAGGCGGCGTGTTACCTGACACGAGCCTGGCACTGAAAGACTGAGAAATTTATCTGTAAGTCCAAATGCGTTTTTGTCTGCAGACTGCACAGTGGACTCACCAGGCTTCATCCCCTTTCACAGCTGCCTGGCTTTATTTCCACGGCGTCCCCTGGGCTTGTCCTCTCACCACACGTGTGTCATTTCCACTTCCATCTAGAGTGCAGGTGACAGCTGTAACCCAGGTCCTACCCATCACAGGCCACAGACGATCAGCCCTGTGTGGTCCAAGGGAAAGTGGCCCGACGCCCCACTGGGGTCTCAGTCCTTGGTAGGTGACCAGGCAGCTTGTGCAGGAGGCGTGAACATGGCGGTTCAGTCCCATCTTCCTCAGATGCGTAGTGTCATTCGCAGTGGTTTTGGGGCGTGCCACCAACTTGCCCCACACCCCATTCTTCGGACGTCTTCGCTCTTCCTCCCAGGGTGTGGCGGACCTGCTGCCGCCGCGACCCCGTCATCGCCTTTCCCTCCCGGTGCGTCGATGCCATTTCTTCCACATCCTACTTGGTGGTTTTTATCCGTCACTTTGGGCTTCCCCGCTTGGGCGCACTCTAAAGGAGCACCGATCACGCCTCCTCGGCGGCGCCTGCGGGTTTGAGGCTGATGTTAAGTAAGCACCGTGCTACCCACCCCCCCCCTCCGTGTTCGTCCCCTCCGCAAATGCCACTTGAACGCTCCTCAGTGCAGCTGAAGATAAAACAGCGGACCGCTGGTCCTTTCAGGGAGAAGGCAGAGCCCTTCGCAGACGCCCCTCACTCACGTTCGTGACAGCTGCGTTGGAGACAGCAGGGCAGGTGTTACTGCTGTTCTGCAAGTGGAGGCTGAGGTCACCTGAGGAGCATTAGGCAAAAGCTGTAAGGACATCACGGGAAAGTTGGCAGAGGCCAGGCGCACGTAGGGCCGAGCCCCTGGTCCCAGGACCCCATCTTCTCTGCCACGTGCGGTCACACCTGTCATGCTTGTGTTTGGGGCCTGCCGGTGCCCGCGGGAGGCAGGGCCCTGGGAGTTGGAGGAAGTAACCAGAGCAAAGAAAATCAGCCCCTAGCAGCCTCGGGCCGACGAGCATGCCCCTCTGCACGCACATTTAAGTCTGATGACTTTTCACACGGGAAATTTTCAGCCAGTTCTACACACTTCATTGCTTTTACCGCTCATGATTACCGTAAGTAGACCTCATTCTGTGGATCTGAACTGTCCTTTCCATTCCGTAAGCCCAGGAAGCTTTCTCCTCCCTGAAAGTAGCTCCACTGGGTCCCTAACTGCAGCCTGGGGCCTGCAAATGGAACCGGCTAATGATAGAACACGTAGGGAATTCTTTCCAGCAAAGAAAACAATACCACTTTTTGGCTTATTTGAAGATGTTAATCTCAGGAGACATTTTCCAACGGGCACAGTCAGCCTTGATACCTGCAGGCAGCGGCATGTTCATGGTCTAATTGTGTTCTGGACGGCGGGCTGAGTCATACCACAGGGAATGCAGAGAAGGAAGAAGAATGGGGCATCAGAGACCTTCTAATGGTTTCCAGCCCTGATCCAAGGGCACAGGGGAAATGTGACTTCTGAGACAGATGAAGATAAATGCAGCCACTTTCAATAGAATTCTGACAGCCCTTCCAGAGACCCTGGAGTTCAAGAAAGGGTTAGTTGGCAGGATAGAGGGGGGTTCTCAGGAAATCAAGGTTTTAAGTCGCAATGTCCACAAAGAAAGCCCGGCCAAGGGCTGGTTGTCTGGTGTGCATAGCCACGAATGAGCCTGCTCTTACCAAAGACCCTCACGAGGGAGGTGTGGCACGTAACTCGGGTCAGTTTCAGGTCCTCCCGCACCAGCAGGTGGAAGTCAGGGCTGTCCTCCGTGAGCCCCGCAAGCTGACCAAGGACGGGCTCCTCCCCACGTTCTGGGCCGTGTGTGCGCAGCGTCTCTCTTCGCGGCTCTTCCAGGAAGCGGGAGTGCAGCCAGATGACCTCCTCCGAAATTTGGCTCCCGCTCTCCTGAATTTGCATTTATTTTAATGCACTTCAAATCAAGGGGCATCTCTCGATTTGATTCTTGTAATGGTATTGCTTCAGCTTTAAGGGGAAAGCACTTCCCTTCATAAGTTTCTGGCCTTTTCCCCATACTTTGCCCTAAATTTTCATGTTATATTGTTACGGGAAATGAAGCGACCAGACACTGAGGGATTCTGGAGTACGAGGTTTATTCCTTTACGTGCACGGGCCCAGAGGAGTCAGTCTCCAAATTCTGAGCCCCGAACAAAGGATTCTTGGGGAATATATAGATTAGGGGTCTTCCTGTGTACGTGACAAACATGGGATACAGAAGCAGAATGTGACAATTGTTCTATCAGCAGGGGTGCTAGTCCCAGCCCTACTGACTGTCCGGCTACCAGCATTCCCAGCGGGGGTGCTAGGTGAGTGAAAGTCTCCTAGGACCTCTCCCTTCATTCCCCCCTGCGGGTGCTTAGACAGCGCTTCCGTTTGTCTCTGCACCCAGGAGAGGATTCCTCTGCTCGTATTGTTGTTGAAGCATTAGTATGCGGCTGGTGGTCTTCCTTACTAACGTACTTTCCAGCTGCCTGACTACCGTCCTGATGGCCCAGGGTCCTATAGAAATTATAAGTATGAGTATTATTACTGGGCCTAGGATAGGGGCCAGAGTGGAGAGTAAAATATCTTGCCACCAAGACGTGGGCCTATTCCCTGAGCCTGGCCTGAATCTAATTTTTAGTTCATTAATGCGCTGGATATTTTCTTCAACTAGGCCACTTTCATGAACAAAATAGCAGCATTCCTCCCCCAAGAATATGCAGGTGCCTCCTTTGTCTGCAGTGAGGAGGTCCAGAGCTCGGCGATTCTACTGTGATACTCTGGCCAGGGAGAGGATCTGGCGTTGGAGTGAGGCCATGGAGGTGGCCACTGAGGATAGAGCCTCGTTGAGTTCCTGACGTATGGCTTCTTGGGATTGTAAACTAGTGGCTAGGCCGGCTCCCCCTGCACTGATGCCAGCGATAGAGGCTGCAAGGCTCAGGCCTACTAAAACTGGGAGGAATACAGCTTGTTTATGCAAGGTGGAACTCATGTACTTAGCTTCTAATTCACCTGGGGGATAAGCAAAAAGCTGAGGGGCTAGGGCTACTAAGAAGTATACCTGAGTATCTGAGCAATTAATCTTTGGAAGTAAGGTCTGGTTGGCCCAGAAAAATAGTCCATCTGGTGGGCGGAGGGTAGTGTTCTTCTTTCCCTTGCACCAGTCCGAGCTGTTGAGGTAGGACTCTTCTCCCTGGTTCTCATATAGGGGCGCCTTGACTGGTCCGGTGTGCCAGCCTGGGCTGGATCTTGCTGTCTCAGAGGGAGTGGCGTTTACTGAGGGAAGCACAGAGGAAACAGTCTGAGAAGTTCTCAGGGCTACTCAAATTGAGGAGAGCTGCTCCCTCCTGGATTAGAGTGATCCAGGAGAAGGGGGTCCCTGGGTTGTCAACTGCTGGTTCAGTATTCTCTATTGTTTCCTGAACAGTTTTTAGATGATATAGTCCTACATATAATTCCCTTCTTTTGAAGACTAGAACATCTCCTACTGGTCCAGAATGGAGCATATTTACATAAACTTTCCCTCTAACTCCCTTTTCCCATTTCGGGTCTTCTGCTCTGTCTAGGGTGATCCAGATGTACCTTCCATCATTAGCGTGGACTCTGCAGTTTCGGTAGGCACAGCCCCCATATGTCTCTGGCCACCAATTGCAGCTATCTTCTACCTGGTCTTCCTGGAACCAAACAAACGGGTCTGCGCCCCAAAACCAGTCATTTAGACATTCGAGGGCTCCTACCTTAACGGCTATTTTTGCTTTTCCCTTACACAATCCCTTACAGTCTAGGGTAGCCAGAGTGGTCACTTTAGTCTGAGTTCCTTGTTTTCTACATTCTTGTACCACTATTGTCTCCTTATATTGCCCTGTAGTGAGGACGAGGAGGAAAGTTAGGACAGTTAGACTAAGAACTATGGAAGTCATAAATCTATATGAAACAACCAAGGGCTTGAAAAGTACACACTAGTCCAAGGTAAAGGAGTTCTAGGACGATTTGCTCACCTGATGACCAGTCTCCTGGAGCAGTGTACCAGAGTCCAAATCCCCCGAAGACGGTGAAGGTGCCGGTGATGGCGTGATGCTCCCAGGAACAACGGTCCATTCTGTTCTCCCCTCCTGGGGAGTTCTCCGGAGCCTCAGGGCAGGCACTTGGTCTGGTCCTGGTGGTCTCCTCTCAGCGGCTCCCTCGGGGGGTGCTGCAGCCTTGGCTCGTGTGTGGTGAATCCAAGGAGTTATACCTGCAACCTTTAAAGCAGTGGGGGTAGTTAACAGAATCAGGTAGGGCCCAACCCACTTGGGTTGGAGGGATTCTCTTTTCCAGTCTTTTGCCCATACGTACTGTCCCGGCCGGAAAGAGTGGGCTGGCCCCCCTGTCTGGACTATTTCTAGCCCTAGGTGAGCTTGCCTAATTCTATCTAGCTGTTGGCCTAATGCCGTTAAGTAAACAGTCTGTCTGGTTTCTCCCAGGGTAGCTAAATCCGTTGTGCGGGGCAGTCGTGTTAGAGGGGTGGCTCTCCCGTAAAGGATCTCGAAAGGTGTGCACCCTGCTGAGTTAGGTGTGCATCTGACTCTGAAGAGGGCGAGGGGTAGCAGGTCTGGCCATGGCAGGTGGTTTCCTGACAGAGTTTCCCTAGAGTGTCTTTCAGGGTCCTGTTCATTCTCTCAACTTTTCCTGAACTTTGAGGTCGATAGGCGATGTGGAGGTTCCATCTGAGGTTCAGTCTCTTAGTTAACAAGTGGACAACTTTTGCAGTGAAAGCTGGCCCATTGTCGCTGTGGAGACTGTAGGGTAGTCCGTGGCGGGGTACGATTTCCCACAGTAGCACCCGGGCTACTTCGTGTGCCTTCTCTGTCCGAGTGGGGAAGGCCTCTACCCACCCTGAAAATGTGCAAGGACTAGGAGATACTTGTAACCGCGGCTGGGCTTGAGTTCGGTGAAATCCACCTGAAGGTCCTCTAGGGGCTGGCTTCCCATGTACTGGATCCCGGGTGGGACTGCCTTTGCTACCTTAGCATTGTGTTGGGCGCACGTCTGGCGCCGCGAGGCGACTGAGGAGCAAAGGGCATCAAGAGTTGGGATGTACAGATACTTTCCCAACAGTTGGCTCAGCTTTGTCCTCCCGAGGTGGGTCAGCTGGTGGCACTTTTGGACCAGGTTCTTCCCTTGGCTTCGCGGTATGTAGATGCGCCCGTCTTGGAGTTTCCAAAGCCCTTCGGGGGTTTCCCGGGCCCGTACTCGCACGGCCCATTTGTGTTCTTCCGGGCTGTAATCTTCCTTGGCTGGAATGGTCCCTAGCAGCGGCCCCATGGTGGCGGGGCCTCTGGGGGCAGATGCGCTGCTGCTTTAGCAGCTTGATCTGCCAGGTAGTTTCCTCTTATTTCGTTACTGTTTCCCCTTTGATGTCCCCTGCAGTGCACGACTGCTGCCTGGAGTGGTGCGTTGACAGCTTCTAGCAGCCTTAATATTTCCTGTTTGTTCTTTATCCCCTTTCCTGCTGAGGTTAGTAGTCCCCTTTCTTTATAGATGGCTCCATGGAAATGTAGAGTGGCATAGGCCTATTTTGAATCAGTGTAGATGTCAACCCTTTTCCCTCTGCTCAGCTCTAGGGCTCTAATGAGGGCAAACAGTTCTGCTCTCTGCGCTGACCACCCCGCTGGCAGAGCTCTCGCCTCGACTATTGTGTCTTGGGTGGTCACAGCATGCCCGGCGCGACGTTCCCCTGTCTCTGTTAGGTAACTGCTCCCATCACTATATAATGTCCAGTCTCTCAAAGCGAGCGGCTGGTCTTTTAAATCTGGTCGACTGGCATATACCTGATCTGTGACATCTGTGCAGTCATGATCTGGGACCCCCTCCTCAGCAGGTAAGTACGTGGCTGGGTTGACTGATCGTACTGTCTTTGGGTGCACACGAGGGTTGCCCTGAAGTAGCCCCTGGTATTGGGCCAGCCGAGGGTTGGAGAGGTACTTATGTCCAGCCCCCTCTAGGAGACTATGCACGGGGCAGATAGAGGACAGCCTCTTGCCCAAAAGTCAGTTTGTCAGCCTCTTTCAGCAGGATGGCAGCAGCAGCGACCTCTCTTAAACATGGCGGCCACCCGGCTGCTACGTTATCCAGCTGCCTGGAAAGGTAGGCTACCGGCCGCTTCCAGGGGCCATAGTCCTGGGTCAGTGCCCCTAAAGCAATTTTGTCCTTCTCGTGGACGTAGAGCCAGAAAGTCCTCTCTGGGTCAGGGAGCCCCAAGGCAGGCGCACTGGTCAAGCAGTCTTTGATCTGCTGGAAGGCCTCCGCCTGGTCCCCAGTCCACTGAAAGGGCTCTGTGTCTGGGCCCCTGCCTGCCTGATAGAGGGGCCTCGCCAGCTGGGCGTACCGGGAATCCACAGGCGGCGGAACCCGGCGGCCCCTAGGAACTCTCTGAGTTGTCGGCGATTTGACGGGGCCGCCATCCACTTTATGACTGCTTTCCTCTCCGTGCCTAGCTTCCGCTGCCCCTGACTTATCTGGAACCCTAGGTATTTTACCGTCTCCTGACAGAGCTGTGCCTTTTTCTTAGACACCCGGTACCCTTGCTCTTGCAACAGTTGTAAAAGAGCCCCTGTATGGGCTCGACAATTATCTTCTCCTTGCTCTGCCAGTAGGAGGTCATCTACATACTGGAGGAGGGTGACCTGCAGGTACTCGTCTCTAAACGGCCTCAAGTTGCGCGCCAGGGCCCCACTGAAAATGGTGGATGAGTTCTTAAACCCTTGCAGCAGTCGCGTCCACGTTAATTGTGTCTTTTCACCCAATACCGGGTCTTCCCACGCAAAGGCGAAGATGGCCCGCGACTGTGGAGCTAGCGGGATGCAGAAAAATGCATCCTTTAAATCCAGGCAGGTGAAATGAGTAGCGGCGTTCGGTATCTGACCGAGCAAGGTGTACGGGTTCGGGACAACTGGGTGCAAGGTCACTGTGGCCTGATTAACTGCCCTTAAGTCCTGGACCGGCCGGTACCCAGTTCCATCCGGTTTCTTCACCGGGAGCAGAGGGGTGTTCCATGGGGATTGGCAAGGGATTCAAATCCCTGCCTGTAGATGCTTGTTGATTATAGGCGCGATCCCTAGCCGCGTGTCTCGGGGAATGGGGTACTGCTTTAGTCTCCGCGGGGTGGCCCCAGGCACCAGCTCTACTAGCACCGGCTCTCTGCCTGGAGCTAGTCCTGGTGGACTATCCTCTGCCCATACACGGGGATAGGCTTCCCATAGGGATCCCGAGGTGCCGCCCCTTGCTGTTGGTGGAGTCTGTATTCCTCCTCCCTTGGCAGTACTAGTGCAATTGTCCGTGGAAATGGGAGGTCTAACGTGGCCCCTTCTGGACGGAAAGTCACGCGTGCTGCTAGTTTGGTCAAGATGTCCCGGCCTAGCAGCGGGAGTGGGTAGTCTGGTATGTATAAGAACTCGTGGGTGATCTGGTGGCCCCCTAGTTCCACCTTGCGGGCCTGGCAGAACCTCTGAGGGCTAGCCGAGAGCCCTGTCGCTCCCTGCACTAGTACCTCCTTTCCGGTGGGTGGGCCTACCGGCTGGGTGACAACTGAGTGTTCTGCTCTGGTATCTACCATAAAGTCAATGTCCTGGCCCCCTACTCGCATTCTGACCATGGGCTCTTGGGGGCCGAGAATGATGGAGCCTGGTCGGTCCTAGTCTTGACCGAATCCTGCCAAGGCTAAGACATTAGGGGCTGGTGCTGCTGGGACCCTGGTCCCTGCCGGATCGGAGGTTTGTCCCTCCCACCTCTTTAGGGCTGGGCAGTCACGCTTCCAATGTCCCTTCTCTTTGCAGTAGGCACACTGATCTTTCTCTGCCTTGGAATGGCCTTTTTTCCTAGTGGGGCCCTTTTGGGTTTGGGGTGGCCCACTTAAGGCCACGGCTAGTAGGGTAGCCTGCATCTTTTGGTTCTCTAGCTGAGCCGTGGCTGCTACCTCATCCCGGTTTTCAAAGACCTTATTGGCCACTGCCATCAACTGGTTCAGGTTCATGCCAGGAGATCCTTCTTTCTAACTTTTGTTATTTCCTCCTGATGTCTGGAGCGGACTGTGAGACAAACGCCGTGGCTACCATACACTGATTTTCCGCAGCCTCGGGATCAAAGGGGTGTATACTCAGTAGGCCTCCATCAACCTTTCAAGGAAGTCCCCGGGGCACTCATCTGCCCGTGGCTACCTTGGCCATATTAGTCGGCCTCCGGGCCGCGGCCCTGACTCCCTGGAGGAGGGAGTGGCGATAGAGGTCAAGAGCCGCCCGACCTTGTTCAGTGTTTGGGTCCCAGGCTGGCTGCTGCTCAGGTGCAGCTACTCGGGCATAGTCCGAAGGATCTAGGGTCCCGGCCGGGGCATTCACCTCCAGGAATCGCAGGGCCTCTAGAAGGATCTTTCTCCTCTCCTCAGTGTTGAACAAGGTGAGAAGTTGGCGACAGTCAAACCACGTTGGGCGGTGGGTTTGAAAGATGGAGTCTACTAGTTCTACCATTGCCTGTGGCTTCTCTGAGAAGGGTGGCGTGTGGTGTTTCCAATTCAGCAGGTCAGTTGTACTAAAAGGTTGATAATAGTACGTGACCGGACCTGGTTGGATCGTCCCATCATCATTTATGCGGGGCGCTGCCTGAACTTCCCTGAGGGAGGGGCATCTGGAATGGACCCTGGTGGTGGCTTCTCAGGCGAGCCGCCATTGGCGGCGAGTCTGGGCGGGGCGGAGGTAGCGCAGGGTAACGGACCGCCTCCTGCTGTTGAGGCTGCTGAGGGGAGACAGACTGGGGTGGAGTCAGGGGCTCGGCTGGCGGTGCCGTCGGGGGTGCAGGTGATGCACCCTCTATAAGGGGGCGGCTGGAAGACAACTAATTCATCCTCCTGGGTGGGGTCTTGGTGTATGGGAGGCCTAGATCGAGCCACTAAGACGGCGGATGAGCTGTCTCTAGATCGGGAGCCGCAAGCTCGAGACCTCGTTTGCCCCCTCTCTCTAGCACCTCTCAATCGTCCCTGGGCCCTTGTGCACTGGCTCAGCCACTGAGGCATGTCCTGTGCTAATTCCTGCCACCTATCTATATAGGGGAACTGATCAGGGTGTCCTGGCTTCCCCGTGACTTTGGCATGGACTGTGGATAGGTTCAAAGTTCCCTCGCGGGGCCAGCCGACTCTGAAGGTCGGTCATTCTAAGGTACAAAACGTTTCTAGCTGACCAGCATTTAGGGATGAGTCTTGTCCCTTGAATTTACCAAAATTCTGCAACATGCAGTCTAAAATAGTGGACGGTTTTCCTCCCATTCTGAAGCCTCCCACACGGCGCGGACACACAAAGGGTAGGGTTGATTCGCTCGTCCGCCTGGCCTGCTCCCTCGCGGGACGAAGTCGGTCTTGGCTAAGGTCGCCCCAGCAGAATTCAGGGTTAGCTGCCAACCGTTATGCCGTATGACCTGACACAGGAACCGCAGGTTGGGACCCACTCTTGCTCCGTAGGACCAGCCCGTGGAGCCACAAACACAGCCACGCACACTTTCACACTCAAGCGCTCCGAGTTTAAACAGTCCCTCCCTGAGTGAGGGTCAAGTGGTCGGATTCAGCATGAATCCGACCCAAGGTCCTACATAGAGGTGATCAGCCTCTTCCAGTCTCGGGTCAAGTCCCCGGGGCACTCACCAATCTGGCGCCTTCTGTCAAGTCGTAGTCCGGATCCCTCGCTTCCCGCTGGGGCTGTCTGCGTGTCGGAGGGCGTGCCGACACTGAGCCCCCCACCCAGGTTCTTCAGCTTGTGTCTCTTAGAACAAGAACAGTCTCCTTCATAACCACAGTGCCGTCCTCTACTCCAAAAAACGCAACATCGGCACAGCAGTGCCACACCCTTTAGTCTTCCGGCGACGCTGTGACATCCACTGAAACCCTGAAAAACGCGCACTTGTCTTAGGACATGTCTGTTTAATCCAGGAAGAGAGAGACACGCACACACCCGCAGGCCTGACCAGGGTCCAGAACTCTACCTTGGCCTGACAGTTCCCCCCGGTGAGACTCAGCGTAAGCGTTTTTGGCAACAATCATCGCACCCGTCCCGGCGTCAGGTCGGGAAGCACACGGTGTCAGGTTGTCCTTTCATCGGTGACGCTCAGTTTGACCATGTGGTTGATTGACATTCCTGACATCTGCCTGCTGCCTTCGTTTGAAATTAAAAGTAATCCGCAGCGTGGTTCTTTGAAACTATGAGCATCACACTCCCCAACAACATTTCACCCAGTGGGTTTAGCACCCGCTGCAGACGATTCCTGCCTGAACCGGTTATCACATTGGCAGCTGCAAATGGGGCCTTTCAAATTCTCTAGTTCCACTGCCCATTCCGGTAGCAGTCAGCGTTCTCCCGAGAAAAGAGCTTTTCCTCTCGCTGCCTGTGGGGACCCTTTCTATTATTTGACATTATGCTGCAGCACTCCTAGTGTTTTCTCTCGGTGCCCTAATTCTTTCCAGTGCTCTCCTGGTCTTTGGAACGAGGTGTTTCAGACTCAGCCTGCACTTTGCCAGCCCTGGACCAGGAGTCTGAACAGCCACCTTTCAATACAAAGGATGTTCTAGGGAAGCAGTGAGGCCGTTTGTAAATAGAAAAGGGAACCGTTATCCACCAGGCGGGGGAGAGAGCCAGAGTGAGCTGTACGGGCCAGCAGGTGACATTTGACTTTAGCCTTGAAGGATACCGCGAGCACAGAAAAGATTGGAGGTGACCCAGGAGAGAGCTTCCCAGGGGAGCAGGAGGTTCCTGGTCTACTAAAGGAAAGGCCAGGGGCTGATACGGGAGGAAGCAGCCGGACGATGAAGGGCCTCAAACGGCCGGCCAGGAGGTTTGGGACAGGAAGGTGATGGGCAAGGGCCTATCAGTTATTCCGCCACATGGGAGTGACATGATGGGAGGCGGGACGGAGGGAGGGTGCTCCGGGGTGAGTGTGGGGCCCAGACTGCTGGTGTGTGCCCAGGCAGGGCCCACTCGTGCTGTTCCTCGAAGAGAGCGCTGTGTGTTCTGTCGGTGCTTTCAGGTTAGGTCTGTTGAGATATTTTGCATTTCAGTTTTTTCTCCTGAAAGTTCTGCTACCTATTCCTCAGCCTTCAGCTTCGAAGGGCAGGGGACTGGCTTTCTCACTGCTGAGTATGTATGTTGAGTATCTATAGATGATTTAACATTCTCATTTTGAATTCAGTAGTTCCTATATAAAAATTGAGACCCAATCACTACATGTATGCGGGTGAGAGGAAAATCAGTGTCTGTACCAAGCAGCCCAGAAGCAACACTGCTCTGGAAGACAGGTGCTGGGGCCCTGCGTGTGGGCCCCGCGTCAGTAACCTCGGTCGCCACGTCCCGCCGATATAGCAGCCCCTGCTGCCTGTGAATGTGCATCGGGGGCCAAAGACGCCCCAATAGTTGTTATATCACGGACATGTCAAAATCGTATTTTAGACATACTGCATTAAAGGAATACAAAGTAGCCTATCCCTGACATGTTACTCAACTTAGGAGCAGAAGTCCTAGCCAGAACAGTTAGACAAAATGAAAAAAAAAAGTATTGAAATCGGGAAGGAAGAAGTAAAATCGTTACTACTTTCAGATAAATGATGTAATAGTACAACAATTAATAAATAATACAATACTAAATAATACAAGACTAAACTGTGTTTTGTGAACTCACAGCTATAGACCTATTTGTGCCCACCCTGTATATATAAAAAAGAAACTAAAAACTCTATAAAAAAAACTATTAGAATAAGCAAATTCAGGGGCGGAGGGAAGATGGCAACGGAGCAGGACAGAGTGGATTCCAGCTCCCGTACACATGGGAGAAAATCCTGGCAGATCTACTGAGAAACAGCGCAATCAGCCAACAGTTCCCCAGCATTTATGAAAATAAGAGACCAGAGATTGTGACGGACGCTGAACCACCAGACAGCTGCAGGTCAGTGGGGTCTGGGAGACCTAGGTGAAGACAAGAGCGGCGGGCGGGGCCGGCGCCCTTGGCCAGGCGGGCCCTGGTGCTGCCTCCATGGTCCGGGTCCAGAGGCATCGTTCTGAGACCAGAGTCAGAGGTGTCTGCCACAGGAGCCCGGGGACCCAGCAGCCTCGATAGGAGACCATTGCTGGTCAGCAATTCCCTCCCTCGCTGTTTAAGCAAGGCTGGGCTACACCGAGCAGAGACCTGTCTGCTTGAGTTTATAGACAGGATAGCAAGGACAAAGGGCCATGTTCAGCTGGTCACCAGTTCAGGAGACTTGAGAGGTGCATTGTCATCACCGGTCTAGCGGGGGACTGGGCTGGGTTGAGAGGCAGGCTTTCTGGAGAAGTTTTTTTTTGGAAAGTGGACTGAGGTGTTCTCCTGCGACGGCAGCTTGCTTCCCACCCAGCCTGGCAGCGACCCAGAAGAGGGGCGGAAGCATTTGAGTTCCGCCACAGGACTGGGAAGGACCGTGCCAGATCCCGCGGGACCCAGGCAGCCTGGCGGGTGCATGGGCACTTGCACCCCAGTCTGGTAGCCTGGCTGGTGCACGTGAGCCAGCACCCCAGCCCACAGAGAGGTCCCGCTGCAACCAGAAAAAACGGTCTGGACAGTTTGAAACCAACAAGGGGATGTTTTTTGTTGTTGGTGGTGGTTTTTTTCTTTCTTTAGTAACTTTTTTTTAGTAATCTTATATTTTTTCAATTTTATTATTGCTTTATCTTTCGATACCTTGTTCCTCTCCTTTCTTTTTTCCTGTTTTAGTCCTCCTTCCTCTCTTCCCAAACTTATTGCTCTTGTCCCCCTTCTCCTGCCTTTTTTTGGGTTTGTTTCTTGCTTTGTGTTCTTTTACCCACAAGAGACACAAACAACTGGGAAGTGCGAAAAGACCAGAGTGGGACCCAAAGAGGGGGCATCTCAAGAGTAGAGACAGAGAAACAAATTTCACTTTGCTATAGCAGAGAAGACACGAGTTGCTGCATTTTTTTCATTATTCTCACTTCTTTTATATTTTAACAGTATCTCTGTATTCCTCCTCTTTCTGTATGGGCATCTTAGTCTTGGCTGGTTATATTGTATTATTTCAGAGGTTTCTCCTGTTCTTTCCTCCACAGTGTATTGCTATTCAATCCTCTGTACTTCACGCCTCTTGTTTTCCTTTAGCACACTACCCAAAGCTCTATACCCCCTATTCAAAAAGATCACATAGAATCTGTCATATGATTGCTGCTCTAATACTACTGTAAATAATAGCTGTTCTATACAACTGTAAATACTTCACAACCCATCTCCCAGATCTTAGCCCACTTTACAGGTTCCTGAACTCTATTACTGGAGTGATTAACTATTTGCTCACATGCTACACCTATTTACTATTCTTTACTCTCACTTTACATCAAAATCTGACCGCCCCACAACCTCACTGCTTTCTAGTCCCAACTCACAAGCCTTCCCTCCCCAACAAGAGACTTACCGTTTGTCCATCCTTTCATAAAAGTGGCAAGTTGGGGTGAAGATTGTGGTTAACACTATATGTAGCCTAAAGATTGTCTGTCTCTTCTCTACCAACTATGACCGTAAAATTCATATTGCGGGACTAAACAACACCCCAGATGAAATGCACTTAACTGATATATACAGAGCCCTTCATCCCAAAGAAACTAAATATACATTCTTTTCAAATGCACATGGAACATTTTCAAAGATAGACCACATGATAGGACACAAAACAAGCCTCAACAAATTCAAGAAAATTGAAATCATACCAAGCATCTTCTCTGACCACAAGGCACTGAAATTGAAAACCAACCCCAAGGAAAAAAACCAAAACACCCAAAATCATGGAGACTGATGGTACGCTATTAAACAACAAATGGGTCAAGAATGAAATTAGGGAAGAAATCCAAAAGTTTCTGGAAACAAATGAAAATGAACTTGACAACAACCCAAAACTTATGGGACACAGTGAAGGCAGTCTGAGAAGGAAGTTCATAGCAATACAGGCTCACCTAAAGAAGATAAAAACATTTCGAACAAACAACCTAACCGTCCACCTGCAAGAACTCTAGGAACAACAACAAAGACAACCCAGAGCAAGTAGAAGGAAGGAAATAACCAAGATCAGAGCAGAATTAAATGACACAGAGATGAAAAGCACAATTCTAAGGATCAACAAATCCAGAAGTTGGTTTTTTGAAAAGATAAATGAAATAGACAAGCCTTTAAGTAGGCTCATCAAGAAAAGGAGAGGACACAAATAAACACAATCAGAAATGAAAGAAGGGATTGTAAGAAATTTCTATGAAGAACTGCATGCCAAGAAATTTGAAAACCTAGGTGAAGTACACAAATTTCTAGAATATAATCTTCCAAAACTCAAAAAGAAGCAGAAAGCCTGAACAGACCAATAATAGGAGATGAAATTGAAGCAGTAATTAAAAAAACTCCCATCACCCAAAAGCCCTGGACCAGATGGTTTCACAGGAGAATTCTACAAAGCATTTAAAAAAGAGCTAACCCCTATTTTTCACAGACTATTCCAAAAAATCCAAAAGGATGGAAAACTCCCAAACTCTTTTTTATGAAGCCAGCATCATCCTAATTCCAAAACCAGATAGAGACACAACAAAGAAAGAAAACTTCAGGCCAATATCACTGATGAACATAGATGCTAAAATCCTCAACAAAATATTGGCAAATCGCATCCAACTATACATCAAAAAGATCATAGACCATGACCAAGTGGGATTCATCCCAGGGATGCAAGGATGGTTCAATATTCACAAATCAGTAAATGTAATACATCACATAAACAAAAGCAAAGCCAAAAACCACATGATCATATCAATAGACGTGGAAAAAGCTTTTGATAAGGTACAACACCCATTTATGATAAAAACACTCAGCAAAGTGGGAATAGAGGGAGCATTCCTCAACATAATAAAGGCCATATACGAGAGACCTACAGCCAACATCATACTCAATGGGCAAAAACTAAAAGCTTTTCTACTAAGATCAGGAACAAGACAAGGGTGTCCACTTTCACCACTTCTATTCAATATAGTATTGGAAGTTTTAGACACAGGGATCAGACAAGAACAGGAAATAAAAGGCATCCAAATCAGAAAGGAGGAAACAAAACTGTCACTGTTAGCAGATGACATGATAGTGTACATGAAAAATCCTATAGACTCTACCCCAAAACTACTCAACCTAATGAATGAATTTGGCAAAAAAAAAAAACAGGTTACGAACTCAATATCCAGAAATCAAAGGCATTTTTGTATACCAACAATGAATCAGCAGAAGCAGAAATCAAGAAAAAAATCCCATTCCATATAGCAAAAAGAAAAATAAAATACCTAGGAATAAACCTAACCAAGGACGTAAAATACCTGTATGCAGAAAACTATACAACACTGAAGAAAGAAATCAAGGAAGACACAAACAAATGGAAACATATACCGTGTTCATGGATTGGAAGAATTAACATCATCGAAATGTCCATACTACCCAAAGCAATTTACAGATTCAATGCAATACCTATTAAAGTACCAATGGCATATTTCACAGACATAGAACACTTCAAAAATTTATATGGAACCATACACGAGCCCGAATAGCAGCTCCTTTTTTGAGAAAGAAGAGCAAAGTAGGAGAGATCACAATACCTGATACCAAACTGTATTACAAGGCCACTGTAATCAAAACAGCCTGGTACTGGCCTAAAAACAGGCACATAGACCAATGGAACAGAACAGAGAGCCCAGAAATCAACCCAACTCTCTGTGGCCAATTAATATTCAACAAAGGGGGCAGTAACATAAAATGGAGTAAAGATAGCCTCTTCAACAAATGGTGTTGGGAGAACTGGACAGCTACGTGCAAAAAAAAAAAAAGAAACTTGAGCACAGACTTACACCATACACCAAAATAAATTCAAGATGAATAAAAGACCTAAATATAAGCCATGACACCATTAAAGTGCTAGAGGAGAACATTGGCAGGAAAATCTCAGATATTTCACGCAGCAACATTTTTACTGCTATGTCCCCTAGAGCAAGGAATATAAAGGAAAGAATAAACAAATGGGATCTCATCAAAATAAAAAGCTTCTGTGTGGCTAAAGAAAAGAGTATTAAAATAAAAAGACAACTGACTGTATGGGAAAACATAATTGCCAATGATACTTCAGACAAGGGTTTAATCTCCAAAATATACAAAGAACTCACACGACTCCACTCTAAGAAGACAACTAACCCAATTAAAAAGTGGGCAAAGGACTTGAACAGACACTTCTCCAAGGAGGACATACAGAGTATCCAGAGACACATGAAAAGATGCTCAATATCGCTAGCCATCAGAGAGATGCAAATTAAAACCACAATGAGATACCACTTTATACTGGTCAGAATGGCCATCACAAACAAAGCAACAAACAACAAATGTTGGAGAGGTTGTGGGGAAAAGGGGACCCTAGTTCACTGTTGGTGGGATTGCAGACTGGTACAACCATTATGGAAAACAGTATGGAATTTTCTCAGAAAAATAAAAATCGACCTGCCTTTTGATTCAGCAATTCCACTGCTAGGATTATATCCTAAGAACCCTGAAACACCAATCCAAAAGAACCTATGCACCCCAGTGTTCATAGCAGCACAATTTACAATAGTCAAGAGGTGGAAGCAACCTAGGTGCCCGTCAGCCAATGAATGGATCCAAAAACTATGGTACATTTACACAATGGAATTCTATACAGCAGAAAGAAAGAAAGAGTTCCTACCCTTTGCAACAACATGGATGGAACTGGAAAGCATTATGCTGAGTGAAATAGGCCAGGTGCTGAAAGACAAATACCATATGATCTCACCTTTAACAGGAAGCTAAAAAACAAAAGAAACAAGCAAGCAAAATATAACCAAAGACACTGAAATAGAGAACAGGGGGACAGGGACCAGAGGGGAGAAGGGAGGGAATTTCAGGGGAAAAAGGAGAAGTATTTACAGGAACTAGTATAAAGGACACAGGGATAACAACTAAGGGGGGTGGAAATGGGAGGGGGGTGGAGAGTACAGGGGAGGCTGGGATGGGAGTAAAAGACAGAAAACTGTACTTGAACAATAATTAAATAAAAAAAAACAAAAAAAATCAGTGAACATACAGGATACAAAAGTCAATGTACAAAAATCTATTGTATTTCTACACATTAATAACAAACCATCAAAGAATTTTTAATTGCATAAAATAAAATATCTAAGAAAAAATTTAACCAAGGAGGTGAAAGATCTCTACACTGAAAACTATTAGACCCTGATGAAACAAATTGAAGAAGACACAAATAAATGGGAAGATACTTCAAGCTTATGGATCAGAAGAATTAATGCTGATAAAATGTCCATCCTGCACAAAGCAATGTACAGATTCATTGCAATGTCTATCAGGGCTCTAGCAGCATTTTCTACAGGAATGGCTAGAACCACAAAAGACCCAGCAAACTTGAGAAAAAACAAAGCTGGAGGCATCACCCTTCCTGATTTCAAACTATATCACAAAGCTGTCATCATCAAACAGCGTGGTACTGGCATTTTTAAAAGACACACACAGATCAATGGAACTAACAGAGAGCCCAGAAATAAACCCACACATATGTGGTCAGCTTTTAACAAAGGATCCAGGGATATATGGCAAAGAAAGGACCATTTGTGTAGTAAATCTTGTTGGGAAAGGTGGACCTCCATTGAATATCATACACAACAATCAACAAAGAATGGGTTAAAGATTTGAACATTGTACCTGAAGTCATAAAACCCCTACAAGAAAACATAGGGAGAAGTCTCTTTCATCAGCCTTGACAATCATTCTGATTTGACAACAAAAGCAAAGGCCACAGAAACAAAAATAAGTAAGTGGGACTATATCAATTAAAATCCCCTTCAAAGTAAAGGAAATCATCAACAAGACAAAAAGGCAACTGACTAAAGGGAAGGAAATACTTTCAAATGATCAGATACAAGTCAATATCCAATATATACAAAGAACTCCTACAACTCAATAGCAGAAATGAAAAAAACAAACCAGTTTGGTTAAAAAATGGACAGAGGATCTGAATGGACATTTTTCCACAGAAGACACACACATGGCCAGCAGGTGTGTGAAATAGCACTCATCGGGGAAATGCAAATCAAAACAAGAGTGTGGCCTCATACCTGTTAGAATGGCTGTTATCAAAAAGACCAGAAATAGCGAGTGTTGGCCTGAGTGGGGAGAAAAGGTGGTAGGAATACAGGTCAGTGCAGCCACCACAGAAAACAGTATGGAGAGTCCCCAAAGAATTAAAATGGAACTGCCTTTATGACCCAGCCAATTCGCTTCTGGGTGTTTATCTGAAGGAAGCAAAAACAGTAACTGGAAAAGGTAACCGTATCCCCATCAGCGTTACTTACAGTAACCAAGACATGGAAACTCTCTGAGTCTTCATCGATGGATATCATTCAGCCATGAAAGAGAAGGAACTCCTGCTATCTGCAACACTAGGGATGGTCCTTGAGCGCGTTGTGCTGAGTGAAGTAAGTCAGACAGATAAAGTCAAGTCCCTTATGGTCGCACTTGCATGCAGAACCTTAGAGAAGAACAGCTCGTACAGAGAACAGATGGGTGGCGGACGCTGTTATAAACTAAACACCACGGCACGTGAGGAGCCTTGTGTTTCTGGAAGCTGCCAAGAGAGGACTTAAAGGGCCTCATCTCATGACAGTGTGCGCATGTCGAATTGTTTGTTGCACACTCGAAAGTACTGTATGTCAGGTGTAGCTCAACAACAGCAAATGTGCAGAGTAACATTTTGCTTATACTTTTGTAATGTGGCCACTGGGAAATTAAACAGTAGACGGGTGGATCTCACATTTCTGTTCGACACTGCTAATACAGATACCTTGTTTGTTTGGTATACGGTCTCAGACTTTTTCGTTTTTAAGATTCTAATCAACATGAATACACAATAGGCCTGTGTTCAATACCTCTAAGTTACGGTTATTTTGTGTTTCTGCCTTCAAAACCCTGAGAAGGCAATATATCACTTTAACGTTTGAAAATATTCAAGAAAACCACAAATATAAATGCTTTCGTACAGGAAACACGTTTAATAATAGGGTCCCCCAGGGTTTCTATTTTTTTTAAGATTTTACTTATTTTTAGAGAGAAGAGGAAGGAGGGAGAAAGAGAGGAAGAGAAACATCAGTCAGTTGCTTCTCACACCCCCCCCAACCAAGGACCTGACCCACAACCCAGGCATGTGCCCTGACTGGGAATTGAACCTGCAACCTTTTGGTTTATGAGATGATGCCCAACCCACTGAGCCACACCAGCCAGAGCAACAGTTCATATTTTAGAGTGTAAATCACCCGTTTTTAAATAGAAAGTTCGCCTTTCACATTTACATAGAAAGCTCCTTTTGAACTCTAGAGTTCAAAGAATTATAAAGACAATGGTACTGAACTGATTTGAGAGGCAGCATGTTTGCTTTCTGCTCCTGAAATGTCCGGTGTCTGCGTGTGTGGCCCTTTCTCCAAACAAGCGTCTGGGAGAGGCAGGATGGTGCGGCGCAGGCGCTGCTTCCGGTTGGCCAGCCTTGGAGCGGGTTAGGCTGCTGATTCATAGCCGCACCTTCGCGCAGTCTGGGTCCCAGCCCAGCCACCCTGCCCTCTGCACAGCCAGCACGGGGGCTTCTGGACCCGGGAGCTCGGTGGACAGTTCTCCTGCTGTGGTCCCCAAGCAAAAGCCTCGTGAGCCCCGGGGCCGGTTCTGTGGCCCCGGCCAGGTAGGGAAGATCATGCATAGTCCTGGCCACTGTTGAACAGGACCTCCAACCCCACCTGACCAGGAAGCCTAACCGGACCCCGGAGTCTGCAGAGCCCATCCTGTCCCCCAATTACAGTGGCCCTGGAGGGCAGAGCCAGTATAGTGACCATGTGGCCGGGGAGCTTGGGGCACGATTCTACCTAATTTGTCCCCAGACAAGAGCCTTGCGGGACTTGGAGTCTGTAAGGCTGCCGCATCTCGGGGGGGGGGGGGGGGGGGGAATGAATGCACAGCCCCACCCACTACTGAAAACAGTCCTCAGGCGGCCGAGCCAGGACGCTGACCAGAGCACAGGGGAAGCCACGCAGCCGGTCCTCCAGCCCTGCTCACAGAGGCGCGTGAGTTTTTCCATCTGCAGCACAAAGCTGGCGGCTTCATGTGGCAGGGAGTTGGGTGTGCAGTCCCGCCTGGTTCAGTCCCCAACGGGAGGGAGCTGGGCTGGCCTTGGAGCCTGCTGGCGGCACCGCCCAAGCAGGGAAGCTGCTTGCTGGCCCTACTTCCTGCTGTGGCCGTAGGACCGGTCCTGCCTGTCTAGGAAGCCCGGCCAGGGGACCCAGGCAGCTGCGCAGCCCAGCCTTCGGTTTGATGGGTGACCGAGACAGCACGTGGAACATTTTCTAGGATCGCCCCTAAGTTAGGCCGCAAAACGGGTCTTGGCAAATCCCAGAGGAGTGACGTGCACCAACCACTTCTCTGACCACAGTGGTATGAAACTGCAAATCAGTTACAGAAGAAAAACTGGGAAATGCACAAGTCCTTGGAAATTCAGCAACATTCTCCTGAGCAAGCCAGAGAAGAAACTGGGAGGGAAATAAAGTGTCCTGAGACCCGTATGATTGGAAACATGGCGTACCACAACTTCAAGGTCACGGCAAAGCGGCCCTAAGAGGCGGCCCGCAGCTGTGAGTGCCCACACCCAGAGCAGGACGGCCACCCTGGCTTCACCCCTGTTGGACTAGAAGGAAGAGGCGCTGGCTAAACCCAGAGTTAGCAGAAGAAAACAGATTACAAAGGTTACCGCAGAAAACACAGAACCAGAAAACGATAGAAAACATCAACAGACTCAGAGGTGGTTCCTTGCAAAGATACACAGAATTCACGCACCTTTCACTAGAGTAACCAAGGAAGAGAGACAGGACTCAAGTCAGCACCTGTGAGCCCAGTGGGAACTGGGATGCTAACGAACCCGTCTCCAGAGTCTGAAAGCGCACGTGTCGAACTCAGGTGGGCACAGCAGGCCTGGCCCTTCCCTGGGAGTTTCCACTTTGAAGCGTGGAGGCCCCGGCAGCCCCTGGGTGAACGACACACGCCTCTGTGAATGAGTGGTCCCAGCCCTTCCCCTGTGGCTCTGGGGGGAACCCGAGGCCTGGGCTGGGGGCTGGAGAATCGGCCTCTTCCTCTAGCTCGCACTGAATTGCAGGTCACTTTGTAACTTCGTGTTTACATTAGTAAAGGTGTTGTCAGCTATGGAAATTAGTAATTTGAGTTTCAGTGAGCAAACTGTGTGAATTGGTAGTACTAGTGACACACTATTCTGTAATAATACTATTTCTGAACTTTAAAATGGCCTTTTCAAAGATTTCCTCAGAAAGAACAGGCTCCCTCTGGTGGGCAGTGAGCAGTAGGGTCGGGTTCCTGCGCCCACACCATGCACCCCCAGTTAACACGGGGGAGTCAGGGGCCTCTTCTGACTCTGAGGAGTGGGCTCCATAGCATTTGTGTATTTTTCCTCTTTGAATTTTAGCTAAATAAAGAAAGAAATGAGTCCGTCTCATTGGTGAAGTGAACTGCCGTTCCATAAGGCAAGGCAAGCGAGGGTGCCCGTCTGTGCCTGGCGCTCACTGCTGCCGTCTCGTTAGACGTGTGACCATAATCACGAATATGTAGATTCTCATCACAGGACTTAACTTGTCAGCCTTTACCTGGACAAAGAAGTAGCCTCCAGGATGATCTCATCTCTTCCCCTCCCTGTGTAGCTGAGCTCAAGGTCATATGCATGCACATTTGGAAGTCTGTTTGGACCTCTGAGTTCCTATTAATTTTAGAGAAAATAAGTCTTGTTCATTTCGGCTCTTCTTAAGTTATGAGAAAAAAATCAAAATCCTATGCTGTCTTGAAGCAATTAGCTTCCTGCGTGATATCATTTGTATTTGAAGCTAAAAGTGTTGCTACAGAATGTAATAACTGAAATAAAATGTTCTGAATCACCAAGGAAAAATTAAAATTGCACCAGGCAATGAATTAAGTAGCACATTACAGAAACGGATTTGGGTTTTACAGTCAGTAAAGAAAAAATTTTCATGGAACTTTGTATGAAAATGGCATGTATCCAAATGGTCAACAACCAACCCCAGGAAAGGTGGTTTAGAAAACTTTCTGCTCCAAATCCCACACCCTCCATCTTGCCCATCCCGTATTTTACGTATCTTCCATCGAAGCAGGTGCTTAGCTGCTTCTTGGTAACTGTTGACAAAGTCATTTCCCACTAGAGAAAGGTTGGCCTTCACCCAACATCGTTTTTCTCATTGTCTTACAGCAAACCACATGCTCAGTTTTGGGACGCTGGTGAGCACTTCCAACACCTACGACGGGTCGGGAGTGGTGACCGTGGAAACGGACCGCCCGCTCCTGTGGACCATGGCCATCAGAAGCTGACCCGAGTGACCTCACCGCTCAGTGGCCGTCTCCTCCGGTGCAAGGATCTAAGCCTCTTACGGGAAGCCCGCTAGGGTTAAAGCTGTCAATGTTCAGATAATTCAGGTAACAAATGACACAGCTGAGTTTTATAGCGAGGGGGAACATCATTTTTAAGAAAATAAACTCTACCACATTCCGTTGGAACACTAATGTGGACCGTCTCACTGTCCAATTCTGGTCATCCTCATGCTGTCCATCACCCCGCTCACACTAGAAAACGGCTTTACCCTGAAGCTGGGGAGGCTCCCGGCCCCACACACGCCTCCTGCACGCCCCTCCTGCACGCCTCTGTGGGCTGCTCCGAGCGTGTGAGCGGCGGGCCCCGCGTGTCCCGCGGCCGAGAGCTCAGCACGGCACGCTTTCCCTCCGGCCCTGGCCCTACGGCACCTTTTTGGTGTCCCTTAAAAATGAGACTCGTTGACCTCATTGTTAAACCTGAAAACAGGCCGTTCTGGAAACTCTGGTTGAAAAGAGAAAAGTCCTCGAGCCCCGGGGCCGCCCAGTGGCAGGCCGTGGTGGAGTGACCAGGCAGACCAGCCGCCCCCCGCACAGTCCCAGCCGAGGCTGAAACCCTCGTGCGCAGGGACCAAGCCCACACGTGGAGCCCCTCCCGACACAGCCCTGCAGCGCCTGGTCCGTAGGCAGCGCGTTTGTTCAGACGACTGGAGAACGAGCTGGGCAGCCCGCGGCGGACCTGAGCACCGTGTGCGGAGGGCCTGGGTCCGAAGGCCTGCGTCCCAGTCCGGCCACGCCCGCCCCGAGGCCCTGACCTCAGCTGGAAACCGGAGGGGCCCCAGCCGCTGCCCACACCCAGGTGCTGGACACTGCCAGTTATTGGGTGGGTGACGCACAGGGTGACGGCGTTAAACCACCCGGGGCCCTGAGATGTATTCACGTCGCCTCCATGACAGACCCTCTTCTGGCCCGTTTCCCAAACCACATGTTTGTATGTTGCCGTACAAACCGTGAGGTGTGGAGAACCTGCCCAGCAGGTTTCCCACCCGCAACCCACGTGCTGTGGGGAGGGGCCCGCGGTCTGTCCCTCCTGGTGCTGTGACGGAGGCGTCTGCTGCCCCGCGTGTGAAAGACCAGCCGCCAGACATCGCTGTGATTGTTTGCGCAGATAAACCTGAGATTGAAACCCAGATGTCAAATAAAAATACTTAGTTAACGTGCACGTCTGCAGTCAGTTTCTAAGAAAACAGTCTTTTCTCCACTGTTCCATTCTCACCCAAGTCTCATTTCAATGTTTCTGTATTTTAAATCGATTTGCTCAAGGGTTGATGGGTAACAACATTATTTCATGCACCTGATTTCGGGAACAGCCCAGGATTATGGTCACCACACCCTGTACTCTCTCTCCACGGGACTTACTGTCCAGATCCCCCGTGACCCCGCCTGCGCACCAGGGCCTGTGTGCAGAGCTGTTTTCCGTGTGGGCCGTGGGAGGAGAGGTGGGGCTTTAAGAGCAGGAGGGAAGTGAACAGAGAGGCGGACGTGCCTGAGCAGCGGAAGAGAAGGACACCCCTGGGGGAGGCGGCGGCCCGGGGCGGCCTCAGAGCGCAGGCCGAGGACCCAGGGCTGTGGGGAGGCCCGAGTCTGGGCCACGCACACACTGCCCGCCTCCCAGCCCCAGCACAGACACGGGCCAGGCAGCCCGGGAAAAACACATCCTTTACAGAAGCACCCATCACTGATCATCTGTATACGCACACGGGGAGTCTGCAGATGACGACGTCTCAGATGCACCCCGGGAGCTTGCCGGCCCTCCCCCCTCACGCTGCCCCCTCCGGTCCAGGGTCCGTCCTGACCAGGTTGCTGGGAGAGCCACCTGAGTTCCCGGGTCCCTGCGACTTCTGTCTTTCTTCCTTACGTGGGTCACATTTATAGCCTTTATGAATCTGGTGATGGGCCACCCAAAATGGCACCGAGCTACCTAGTCATTGATCAGTGAACACACGCTCTGATCCCTCTGCTCTTCGGGCAGATGGGGAAATCCGCCAGTGGCCGCAGCTCTGGGGGTGCTGCACTGGCCCAGGAACTGGGGGCGGACCACAGTCCCAGACGCGGTCCAGCGGTGGGCAAAAGTAGGCTTACAGAACAATTTCTTCTTGTCTGGTTCTTTATCAATGATTGTATTAGTTTCCATACGAACAACTGTACACCTGCTTTTGCCCACCCCTGTGTATCTTCTTCCCTTAATTTTTGCCAAGCAGAGAACAGTTTCCTTTTGGGGGGGGGACCAGGGCCACTTCAGGAGACGCAAGAATCACTGGGCCAGGAGGAGGCGCTCCAGCATTCGTGCAGCGATCCGAACGCGTACCGTGCATCCGCCACAGGCTCCCGCTCACGCTCGTGTTTTCCAAGGAGTACTTGACCAATCAAAGTACAGCAGCACCTGGGTCTGACGTCATTGAGGTGGGTGACCCGTGCCCCCGTCAGTGAGCATGACCGCAACCATCCTCTCCCCGACGCTGCGATTGTAAAGGGGTGAGATCTGCGTGGTGATTCCCAACCTATTCGCCGTGACCCACCAGAGATACCCTGTCTGTGACCCGGTCCACACCCATACCCACAGTACTCTAATCATTTTATTCTAAATTGAAAGTCGCCCAGAAATCTATTCTAGATGGAAAACCACACCAAGGGGTGGGGCAAAGGCACGAAAGGACCTTTGAAATGTGTGTGTGTGCAAGGCCTCTGCGTTCAGCATCTAATTGTTCCTAAATTTAGGACCGTGTGAGTGTGATTTACCACTTCACCTTCAGCGCTTAATAATAACAACAGTTCGTATGGTCTGTGTGCTGGAGGACTAACCTGCCAAGGCCAGTGTCCTGGGTGGGACCCCCTCTGGAATGATGAAGTCAGTTTGACTTCATCGGGAATGTGAGATGCTGGGTTAGGAAGTTGTATGTAAGACGTCCTGTTCAGAATACACGATCCTTATACCTGACGGAGATCCAAACTGAGGCCGAGAGGCCCGGCCATTCCCAGGGAGTCACTGCCTATGAAAGAGAAACCTCCTCGGGACATACCAGGTGGCCCTTCCTTGCCGGCCGCAGATTTCACTTGGTAATCATAGTTGTCTGATGAGCCCCCTCTCAGCCCAGTTCCCCAGGCAGCCAGAACCATGGCTCGCCATTGCCTGGCCAGCCCTGCAGACTCGGCTCACACAGGGTCTGGCCACCAGCTCCCACCCGGGGAGGGCCACGGCGGGCAGCCGCCTTCTCAGGCGACAGACAGACCCAAGCCCTTGTTCCCCATGGACTTACCGATGACTCCACCTTTCTGCCATCCCCACAAGTGACTTGAAAAACATAAACTGGGCCCTGAGATCACCCATTAAGAAACAGGACGTTTCTGATAACAGACTTCCAGCTATCCCTGGGAACCAAGGAATCAAAGGCATCTAATACTGTGCTAGCCGAAATGTCGAGAAGCGTTCTTCACTGACAGTAAAAGGAATTGATAAAAGATTTAAAACCATGCCTTATTTATTTCTTTTAAAGACTGGTGAATATTTAATAGCTACTTGCATGTTTGGACAATAAACGGGAAACTAGGAGTGTAAAACTCGGCGGGAACTGGGCCAAGTCCCATCTGGACGCCGTAATTTTGTGTTTAGCGGCTTAACATCATGGCGTCTCTGCCAGAATACAAACCCCGTGGGATCACGGATGCGGTGTCTCTCGGTGCCCGCACCCTCTGTGTGTGCGGTAGGTGTGCCGAGGCTGGGGGGGGTACTGTGGCTGCAGTGACTACCCGACCCCCTTGTACCCCAGCCCCAGGAAGGCAGAGCACGGCACCCGCAGTCCCTGAACACTAGGCTTTTCCTTCCTGGACTCGTACCCCCGAATCATTGATCAAGTTTCCCTTGAATCACCCTAGACTGGATCGTCCTGGTCACGTAAGTGGCTCACCCACCTAACTGAGGACACACGTGACACCCTCAGGCCCAAGGCCGGGCTCACACACCACCCACGGTGGCCCACGGCTACTAACAAACACAGAAGCAAAAGGCTAAGGAATGTTCAGCTGCTTGAAGTGCAAGGATGAGGAAAAGGCAAAGCCGTGAGGCCAGTAAGGGCGGAGGTTAGGAAGATCACCGTGGACTGCAAGAATCAAGGTCAAAATAAGTACCAAGAGCATGTTTGACCAGCCTGACTTGCAGGGGAGGAAACAGAAAATGAGAGGTTAACCAAGGAATTTTTCAGAGTTGGGAAGCTTGTAGCTGGAGCTGTTCCGAGCACTGGCGGTCCAAGGAAAGACCGCTGCTGTCAGGGGCTGGAGGACATGGCAGACAAGCGTACAGACTACTTTTAAATGCCTTTGAAAGCACAGCATCCTGGTTGCTGGGATGCTGATAGGTTTCCCTGTGTTTACAGCTACTTGTTCCACAAATTAAAACCTTAAGAAGCATGTGAAATTAGCCTGAGGACTCCAAAACCATGAAAAATAATGTCACCCACTGAATTACCCACAGTAAATAAACCTCATTATCTGTTGTTTTGATTTCATATTCTCTATAATCAGTAGCACCGCTACCAAACTTAAAAAAATGTATTAATACCATGAAAGAATTAGTTTTTTATTGGAGAAGCAGACCTCTCTTCTCCAGAAAATTTATCTTCACATTACTTTCATTTAGACAACAACTCAGCAAATATTTACAGAATGCATAAAGCAGCTTCCTGGGTTAATTAAGATATTCTACTCACCTGTCCCTTACAGAAATTCCTACACTTAAGTTCTACCCCACACTTGCTGGGTGGGTATCCCCAGTAATTTCAGTATTCTCAGTTGTAAAATTTGAAAAATAATCTCAAAAATAGGCTTTTGATACAGTAGCTGTGGGAACAAATATGTGAAGGTCAGAGTTGGCTTCCTGAGAATACCACGGAGTTTCCTTTTTTGTGCTACAGAAAACAGGAACGTGCCCGTCAATTCTCTGCCGTGGCCACTTCATTAATGTCAGCCACACTTCTCACTCCGCCTTCTGTTACCTGTCCATGAAAAAATTGTCCTGGGCCCCAGTGGTTTACACATTCTGCCCTTTTATGGGCACAGCTTAAAACTGAGGGGCACCTACATGAGTGATGAGATCAGGAGGATGTTAGGGTGGCTTTTGGTCCATGAATTTATTTTGCATATTTTAAAGTTGGCCTTGGAATCCGCATTTTTTTAATTCAACCCCACAGCAGGGAATAGAGCACCATGGCCAGTTGGAGCATCTGTATGCCAGGGTCACTGAATGGTGACTTTTCATGGGGAAAAAGTCAGATTAAATCACAATGAAGCCTCTTTTTTCTAAGGCTAAATGGAGGTAGGAGAAAGCCTTTTGTGTTTTGGGTTTTTTTTTAGGAACTAAGTAAGTGGTCCACAAAAGAAAGATTTGCCCTAAATTTTAACAAGTGGATATTCGCATCATCTCCCTAATTTCTTTTCTAGATAAGATGTTGCTAGTGATTGTGGACCAATAAACACACATGCATGGTGTCAATCACACAGACGCTGCTGCTCTTCACTCCTGTTTTCTGGAAGGAACCGCTCCCCACACGTTCTCCTAGATGGAACCTTCTCTCGGAAGACGTGTAACTTATAAGAGCTGAAGCTCCAAAGCACAGAAACCAAGTGAATAATATTAGGTGCAAGGGGACGGGGGAATGGATTGACTACAAACAATTAGGGGTTACAGAAGCCCCGAGTTATGGAACCTCCCAATTATTCACACTCTAGCCTCCTCACCATCCACATACCAGTCCCTTTGTGGACTCTGGGGAGACACATTTCAGCTGTGTGCAAAAAAAGAGACTCGCCTAACACCTTTACCACCCAAAAGCCACAGAGAGGACTCCCTCCCTCTCGACACAGCGAGCTCCCCGGGGGTCCGTCCAAGGCTGGACAGACACCGGTGGATCTGGGCCCTGAATGAACTCCCAGGATTCCGTGTTCACTCCCCGGGAGAGCCGAGGCTGTGCACCTATATGAAGTCTGAGGGGACAGTATCTGCTGCTTTTGAGATTTGTGGTGCTCAGCTAAAATCATCAGAAGCCGTCTAACTTTGTATTTTTTTTTTTTGCAAATGTATTCCCCTGGCCTCACTGAAAACTGACTACTGTGGCATCTGCCAGCCCGGTTTCTCGGCTAAAGACACAGCCGGTGAAGCGTGCC